CAGGCAACGGCATCTTTTATAATCAAACTACTTACCAAGTTGGTACTTATCCAAATTCAGTAGCAGTCGTCGATATGAATAGCGACAATAAACCCGATATTGTTGTTGCAAACACTAACTCGTACACTGTCAGTGTTCTCCTGCATTGTTAAGGTTTACCGATGACTAAACTTTATTTAATCATTAATATTTTACTACTCTACTAAGTATATTACTCTTATAAAACATTACACAATACACACTAACATTTATCTTCACTCTATATTAAGAATTTCAACAAAACTTTTCTGCTTTTTCAATTTTTTTCTGCTTTTTAAAATATCATCTGCTTTTCATTTTTAACTCAATTTCAGTTCTAATAAATCATTATTGCATACATATCTGATGAATTTTTAGTGATGTATAATGAAAATAACAAAATGGTGATCTCAAATTTCCAATAAGTTAATAAAGACGGCCAGTATATACGTCACTTGCTGAGGCCATTCTTTACCGATGTATTTCTCTTTCTGAAGTACTTTCTATCAATCATCCAAATCTCTCAATTCATTGTACACAATCTGCTGCCTGTTGTTCGTTGTTGGTTAAGCATATAATAAGCTGTAACATTTGTACTTTGCAGAAAAACATGACTGATGCTAGTGATAACCATATTGATCAAGATGAATATGGTAAAGCATCAGTAACAATCGAATCACAAACATCATCCAGTAATAAATCGAAAAAAAAGAAGTTGAAAAAAGGAATATTTAACAAAGAATGATTAAAGACCACCGAATATGAGTTATTTTTGAAAGAATACAAACTTGATGCAACTTACGGCGCATGCATTGCTTGCAATCAGCAATTTTCAGTACATTATCGAGGAAAAGCTGATATTGATCATCATATAAAAACTCAAAAGCATCAAAACGATTATAAATCATTTAATAAGAATCGACAATTAATTACAAAAACAATGAAACCATCAAAAGAAAAAGATTGTAAATGTTTGTAAAAGAATATTCTCATCCTCTTCAACAGCAACTCATTTATGGTACACTCGAACGAAATCAACATTTTTTGCCCTGAAAGTTTTAGCACCATGCTTTACATACAATTTAACTGATGATTTGAAACGCGCATTTCATTATTTGTTGATGTATGATATCAGTAACAAAAGGAAATATTAAAATGTATCCATTTTGTATTCTTTTCTTATTCACAAACGGTGTCAGAAAAGGTATTGTTCTTCTGAATTTAATTTATTGTTGTAGTATTTTAGGCCTTTTTGAATTGATAACAGATATAGACGAAACAGCGGATAAAGTTTTTGTTAATGCTCGACAATTGATTGGTAATAATTTTTTGGATATTAATGAATTAACAGCCGTAGGTGTTAATAACACCAATGTTAGCGTTGGTGGAAATCACTCAGTTTTCTCTCTCTTTAGAGATAAATTATCTGGTATATATATATGTGTAAGATAGTTCTAACCAATTAAAGAAAATAAACTGATCCCTGTTAATCTTATTATTTGATCTTTTCAGTTTAGAATAAGTTTTTAAAACGTGATTCTAAATACTAGATTTGATGGGTTTTAGCGTTTTCCGTAGAAATTCATTTTTTGCACATCCCCATTTGAGAGATTGTATATCATAGACATAATGCGCATAATAAACATCATGAGCATATTAAGCAAAATAGGCATTAGAAACATAATAGGCAGACAGGATATAATGAGCAAGATGAGAGTGTGATTGCGAGCGTGTGTATTTCCGTGTTCTATAATGACAGCTGCACTAGAGTTGAAACCAGTCCTGCCGGCCCGGACAAAACCGAATTTTTACTGGTTCATAAAATTTGAAAATTATATTTGTATTTCAAATTTTTTTCTTACAAAACTAAACTTTATTTGTTTTTTTTAAATATCATGTTAGGAATTGTTATACGTGTATGTTTTAGTTGAAAAAAAGCATGTGACAAAAATATTCGTATAAATTCATAATTTTGCCGGAGTTTTGCAAGCTTGACGTCAAAAGTAGTTCCGCCGGACCAGGCCGAACCGGATGAAAAAAATCCGTCCGGTTACAACTCTGCCACGGTATGTTAATATATATAGAAATCATTTATTTGTCTATCTTTCAATTATTTATTCAATACATATGAATTATTCTTTTTATTGCAACAGAAACAATAATTCATAGTACTGAATAAATACAGTTCTTTTTCTCTCTTTTCGTTACTTTAAACAACCAGTTGGGTGGCCAGTCACCTTCTCATCCAACACAGAGAAACTACATCTAGTTCTGACACAATAATTATATATCGTAAAAGTCTTTTTCTATAGTATATATCAAGAGATATGTATTGTTTACCTTACTCATGGGTGTTACCACCCATTTGTATCTCAACAAGATTAGAGTTTCTCTGTACGCGTGCGCATTTAAAACAATTCTCTTTTTGTTTAAAAAGTTTATTTTTTTGTTCTTTCAAAGAACAAAATTCATAGCAATACAATTTATTATTTGTTTTTTACATCTTTAAGGTTATTTCTATAATATTCAAGATCATGATGATTTGAAGCTAATGATTGTTGAGCAACTTGTATAGCACGCTCATAAAATATACGGGCTTTTGAGTAATGACCCATCTTTTCATATAGCAAACCATTACTGTTGTAAGATTTAGCCAAAGCAAGATGATTGGGGGAAAATGACTGTTTACTAAATTCAAGATCTTTCTCATAATAGGAAAGGGCTTTTGGATAATTACCAATGTTGTAATGCACTGCACCAATGTTCTTGTAGAAAGAAGCCAAATGAGGATGATTCGGAGGAAGTGATTGTTGTCGAATTTGAAGGGCCTTTTCATAATAAGAAAGTGCTCCTGAATAATTACCCATCCTGTCATGTACTGCACCGATGTTGTTGTAGGAAGAAGCCAAATGAGGAAGACTAGGTGGAAGTGATTGTTGTCGAATTTGAAGGGCATTTTCATAATAAAAAAGTGCTGTCGAATAATTATCCATATATTTATGCACTAAGCCAACGTTGTTGTAGGATTTAGCCAAATTAGGATGATTGGAAGGAAGTGATTGTTTACTGATTTCAAGGTTTTTCTCATAATAAGAAAGGGCTTTTGGATAATTACCCATATTTTTATGCACTAAGCCAACATTGTTGTAGGATATAGCCAAATCAGGATGATTGGGAGGAAGTGATTGTTGTTGAATTTCAAGGACTTTTTCATGACATGAAAGTGCTTGTGGATAATGACCCATGTTTCTATGCACATTACCAATATTCCCGTAAGGAGAAGCCAAATCAGGATGATTGAGAGAAACTGATTGTTGCCGAATTTCAAGAGTCTTTTCATAATAAGAAAGTGCTTGCGGATAATTACCCATGTTTTTATATGCCAAACCAATGCTGTTGTAAGAAGAAGCAAAATCAGGATGATTGGGAGGAAGTGATTGTTGTTGAATTTCAAGGGCTTTTTCATGATATGAAAGTGCTTTTGAATAATTACCATATTTTTATAGACTGCACCAATGTTGTTGTGGGAAGAAGCTAAACTAAGATGATTGGGAGGAAGCGATTGTTGTTTAATTTCAACGGCTTTTTCATAGTAAGAAAGTGCTTTTGGATAATCAAACATCTCAGCATGCACATTACCAATGTTGTTGTATGAAGAAGCCAATTGAGGATGACTGGGATGAAGTGATTGTTTTCGAATTTCAAGAGCCTTTTCATAATAAGAAAGTGCTTGTACATAGTTACCCATGTTTTCATACACTGTACCAATGTGGTTGTGGGACGAAGCCAAAGTAAGATGAGTGGGAGGAAGTGATTGTTGTCTAATTTCAAGGCCTTTTTCATAAGATGAAAGTGCTTTTGAATAATTACCTAAGTCTCTATGCACATTACCAATGCTGTTGTAGAAACTAGCTAAACTAAGATTATTGGGAGAAAGAGTGTTTTGGTAGATAGCAAGTGATTGTTCACAGAATATTAGTGCTTCTTGATATTTTCCTTGACCATCTTTAATCGAACCAAGTTGACGATAAATAAGTGCCTTGCTTCCAACATCGTTTCTTTGAGCAAGCAAATTGTGATAAGTTTCTTCAGCTTTATCCAATTGACCCATTTTAAATAGAACCAAACCCAATCGTGCCCATCCTTGGACTTCTGGATGACTCTCTGTTTGAATGTATTCGGTAAGTCTGCTTAATTCTGGATCATTGTTAGCAGTCAGTACCAAATTAGCTTCATATAAACGATTATTTGTGCCCAGTTGTTTAATATTCTGTATACGAAACACGCTATGCATCGAAAACAAGACTTCCTCTTCTCCTTGGAACTTGCTAATACTATCAATTGAAGCAAATGGTGTTGTTAATAGAGCAGGATTAATCTTCATGATAAAAAGTACACCGACTTGATCTGGGTTTGTTACAGCACGTTGAGCAAAACTCATTGATGTGTCACGATTTTTGCTGGTAGATAAGAAATTATTGAAAGAAAGAAGACCACCTTTAATTTTGTTCATTTTTTCAAAATCCCCTGTAGATAAACCTTGACCACGATAAACGATGAAGGTATTAGCAACAGTTGTACCAGCATATTGTTCTTGATGCAGCTGCTCAATTGGTCGATGTAAATCACCAATGAAGAAACCCATATGTGTAATGATATCACCATCCATCAATCGTAATGCACGATCGAGCATATTATACAAGAACTTTTCACAGGTGTACCAATAGATCGGTGTTTTGTTATGGTATTCAGCTTCTAATTGTTTGATATTTTCGATTTCTTCTTCATTGTCGACAAAAGTATTACGGCAGTAATCAAAGTAATCTTGGATGTGATTTTGTTTGAATGTGCTAGTTAATATAATTTCTTTTATAATTTGGGTGTACACGAAAGAAGCATCTAGCTGATCCAACTTTTTATTTGATTCCAAGAAACTCATGGGAATAGCATTTGTTGTTGATTTTTCTTGGTCCATTGTTTGCTATGTGAGTGGTTTGAATTGGAGTTACTGTGTAAAAGTTAATAGTGAAGTAATGATCAGATACGATTCTTTTTATAGTTGTTTATTTCCTTTCGAAATGTTTTATTTTTAATTATTTCTGATGCTGCTATAAAAAACAAACATCGGAATAGTCCGCGAAAAAGAATGATTTTATTTCTTTTCACAGAGAAAAATATAGTGAGGTGATGATAGTTATTTGAGAATCCGCAAGTTAAAAAATGCTTTTTTCATAAGATCAAATATTTGATGAATCGTACAAGTTTGACAACATGTTTGTTGACCATTATATTAGTAGACATGAAGTTTAAAAAATGTTTAAATTAGCTTTCGAGTGATAGCCTGCATGTGATCATTATATCGATGACAGGGATTGACATTTTAAAAATAATATTTGTCATTAACAAACAAAAACACAGACTGAATCATGCATGATTTCTCGTCTTCCATTATTTACAATGATTGTAATATAATAAGTCATGGTCTTTATTTGAATATTCCATTTTTTTCTATTACGATTAATTGATGGATAATGACAGAGTACAAGTTCCAGTAGGGTGGAAATGCTTCTTTTCCGGAAGACTTACTCCATGCTCGTTCTCAAAAGTGATTATTCGTTTTTCAAAATTTAAAGCTTCGCATCGCATTTCACAATTGAGTGAAACTTGAATACTATCTATTTCATAATTAGCTATATCTGATATTAATATAATATTCTCGAATGAATTACAAAGCATCATTATTATATATCTAATTTTTGATAGAAGAAATATAATTTTTATTCTACTACTACTGTAATAAAGCTTTTTCAATCATTCAAAAGCCGAATATATATTTTTTATTATTAGAGTTAACTAAACACTGACAATAGCGACATCAATTACTCATAAAACG